ACACAGCTGTAAGCACAGATGTGAAAAAATGTACAGTAGGCAACAGAAATATAAGGATTTGGAACTCAGAAGAGCCTGGGCCAAAAAAAGTAGACCAAGTATTGTGAGGATATAGTTAGCAGTTAAAGCTGTGACACTAGATGAGATTGCTTAAGAAGCACGTCAAATGAGGAGAGAGAAACTCAAGGGAACATCGATATTTAAGAGCTAATTAGAGAAAGACTTTGATTCAAAGCCCTTAGAGTGAAAATGGAAGTTAACAATTTACTAATTGATCTGCCCTTCTAAGGACATTAGATTGCATCTGATTTTTTTTTTTTTTTATCAGACTGTCTTCCAATGTATTTGTTCTTCTTGGTCTTGGGAGGCTATGACTGACTGCATGAAGAAAATCATAAGAAACCATGTCTTGGACTCTCTTAATAAAAGTTTAAGGTCCAAAGGTCTTGAAAAGTTCAGACAGAAGTCCAGTACTAGCGAATAAGAAAAATGGTAAGGTAGGGCCGGGGATTTAGCTCAGTGGTGCTGCTGCCTCCCTCACAAGCACAGGGACACAAGTTCAATCCCTGGTACCAAAAAAAAAAATGGGAAGATAAAATTTAGGGGCAAAATGAACATAGGTAAAGAAGAGAAAGCTTAGTACAGGTATCCAAGCAGATAAGACTATTAAGGAGACAGCAAAAAAAAAAAGTAAGTCAAATTGACTTGATATTAAAACCAGACCAAAAAATTACAAGAAAAAGGAAACTACAAACCAATATAATTTCTAAATAAAGAAACAATACTGAAAAAAAAAATATATATATATACTAACAGATGGAAGTGTGGGATGAGTTAACCACTTTGAAAAAGTTTATCATATTCTTATAAATTTAAACACATGCAAATCATGTGATTTAACAATCCTATACTAAGGTATTTACCCAAGAGACATGATAATATATGTTCATTCAAAGACTTTTACATACATGTTCATAACAGCTTTATTCATAACAGCCAAAAATTAATAGCAGACAGCTAACTATTTCAAATCTGGATTTATTATTTCCATGAACATAGGGATGCACTCAATATGGTTTTCCTTACTTTATTAGAGAGGTCATTTCTTGTTGGATTAAAAAAAAACTTTGAAGAGCCACACTTAGTTTTGTGTTTGTAGTATCTAGTTTATCACTTAGCACATAGTGAATGCTGAATAAACATTTGTTGGTCATAATATAATTCAGTATAATTTTAGGTCCTCCAAAGACCGTAATATTACTTTAAGTCTCAGATTCATGACAAACATATTTTCTCTTCATCCTCAGTTAAGGGCCCTATAGAAAGTTCTCGGCAATCACAGGTCTCACAAGGACTGAAGTTGGCTATCAAATAGTAGCTCCAGTAAGAAGCCTGAGGCTTCAGGATGAGAAGTTAGCCTGTCTTCTTCTTTTTGCCCTAGTAGACTAAGATTGTGCAATCATAGATGAGAAAAACATGAAGCACTACAATTCTTCAATCGAGAGAGTTCTAGATCAAGCTCCAGTGTGAATTGACAAGTCCATTATTTCCTCTGACTTAAAGGAAATTTGGTTGCAGGAATAGGGAGCCTCATGTAATGAGGAAAAAGACAAAAAATTAGATACCTAGATTTTCCCAGGTGTATCATTAATGTCAAATCCAGCCTAATTCAGTAACTAGCTTAATTTTATGATCCCAGAATTAAGTTCTAAGCATTATTGGGTGAGTAAACATTATACACTTAAAGTGGCAATATGAATTGCTTTTCATTTTGTATTTGCATTATTATTTTCAACTGAACTCCAGTTAAACTACAGAAAATCAAAAGTATAATATTCCAAGCAGCATGCAAACAATAATTTTTAAAAACACTCCTTAAACATGTAAACACCAAAGCTGTTCACACTTTGTTTCCAATCAAGAAGCGGTTTGGAATGTCAGCAGGTAAACCCATTTAATTGTTCTATTCATTGCAACTACCCTTATTAGAGCTGTCCTTGTAAAGGCAATGAAAATGTCAAAGTTCAAAAAATGTCTTAAGATTACATTTGTGCTCCAAATTTCCTTGAGAAGACTAAAAGTCATTATCAAAATGAAATATACAATAGACTAGGATTTTTTCAGAGCAATCACTGCACTGTTTACTTCTTTTATTTCCTGTTCTCTTTTTATCCTAATTGCTGCTTCTGGCCTTTGAGAAGGTATTGGTCCTTGATTAAATATGTAAATAAATAAAATTTTTTAAAACTCCAAAGGGCATAGAAGTTCTTTCCTGCAAATTTTGCAAGTTTTAGCCCTTTCCTTTTCATATAATTGTATTTGTTATAAAAGAAAACATCAGCATCTTAACTTTCTGGAAGTTATCTAATGAGTTTCGGGAGCACATAATTTATTTCTTTCAAGTGCTTCAGAAAGATGGATAGGCTTCATTTGTGCAGATCAGACTTAGTAAAGCTATCTATGAGATGATGAGGGAAATACTTTGATTAAAGACTAGGAAATAGGTGGAAAGGGGGAAATAGGGGGAAAGGTGGGTTTAAAAAAAAAGCCAGGAGAGGCTAAGGAGCAGGAAAGTAATGGAGACATTTTTCCAACGTAGCTTTCCCCATCCTAAAGGTTTAATCCGTTAACATACTGTCAGGCATTATTCATTTGCATGTATATCCTTCAAATTAGACAAGGTTCCTTAAGGGAAATTTTTCTTTTTGTGTCCCCAATACCTGGCACCAAGGAAGTCTCTGAGATGTCTTGAAATAAATAAATCTACAATAGTATGAAGCTCAGTGCAGAAAAACAACCAAATAAAAGTTAAAAATAGCTTTCCATCTTCTAGGAATCAATACTCCAGAGTTGGAAAAACAAGTGCAGAATACACCAGTCTGGAAAGACTGCAGTTCTGCTCAGCATGGACAAACTGCAGGAGGATCCTTGGGGGCAGGGATCCGTGAGAGCCTTATGAAATGTGCAGTTCCTACCAATACTGACTCTGAGAGACAGGGGCTCCCAGTGGAGCAGAGGTGCAAGGAACCTTGGGAAACACCATCCTAGCACTGTAGGAAGAGCCAAATGACCCTGAAAGGCTTCTTTCTATCCAACTGCTTCATTTTTCAGAGAGGAATGTGAAGAGCTAGAAAGATGAAATGATTTCCCCAAGGTTGCACAGCAAATTTAGACCTAAGGACCCCTGACTTGGAGTTTTTGCTCTTCTGTTTGTTCAGGAAAACTCCAGCAATTAATTGTGTACCTGCAACCCAGGCTCCTCCATTTGATCAAGGAGCCACTGCTGGTGATTTGATAACTCCACATCCACTGCTATCTTTTCAAAACACCTTTCTCTAACTTCCCCCTTTAACATTGGCATCTGAACCTTCAGTCCATTGAGAGGGACTATGGTAACTATACTGCCAAGTTAATAACTTCAGAAATAAAACAGAGGAATGAGTATTGCTTAGGAACAAAAGTCTGAATATATGGGTTTTTATTTTTCATATACACACAAAGCAGTCCCTTGACATTCTGCCCCAGCCTGCCCCTCCCCAAACTACTCAGGCACTGTCAACCAGTAGTCTTTGTTCCAGCTCTTTCCTTGGCCTACAGAGTCCTCCCTAACCCCACTTTAACTCCTTCTTCATCTGCTCTACCACTTATGTTCACTTTAAAGCTTCTTCTTATGACAGGCTTTTCAGATTGCCCCCAATCATAACAAATTGTTCTTTTATGTGAGACTATAAACTCCACATGTGCAGCCTTTGCCTCCACTTCCGCTTTCCGATCCGTTTAACTCAGGTGCTATTCTGGTCCCCTTCCAGATTGAAAACCTCCAAAAAGCAGGGATAAGATTTTTTTTTCACTAAACATCTCAGAATAGGTATTGAGTAAATGCTTATCAAATGAAGAGATAAACAAAATATCCTTTCACGGTTGTGTATTTGCAAATATTTACTAGCTAAAGAAGTATATAAATTGCAATATATTAAAATTTTGCTCATAAAAGAAGTTATACAGTAACGGTGGAATTCAACTCAAAAAATAAGTATATTATTACTTTAGGAAATAATACATGTGAACTTTTTATGAAGTGGAAAAATGTTGTTTAGAAAGCTTAACTAAAACGAGAAAGTAATTAACACTTGAGGTTCTTAAACAGATTATCCATGATGCCACATGGGGAAGGAGAAGAAGTGTACAAAAAAACCACCTTGACAGCGCTGGAAATGGGCACAGCTATGGAGCCATAGCATTTGCAAAGAAAGAATGGAGACAGGTAGAAGATCAGGGTGAACTGCCCTTGGAAATACTTTAATTCAATATTTTTATCCCTATTTATTTCCAAACAAGTTTCAGGGATGTTGGAAGTGATATCAAAAGGAAATAGGGTATACAATGGGGCAATAATCATATTTTTCAATTCCTACGTGTGTGAAAGATATAGAAAACGGGGACTTTGTACAGAAACCACTTTTACAAAGACATGGGCATCCACAGATAATCTCATACACCTGCAATAACAGTGAATAATGAGCAGTAGCTTCAAACAAGTTCCATCAGAGGAGTAGTTATCCACGTCCATAAAGATGATGAACACCTAGAGGTGCTGGGAGAAAATAAAGTCAAATAGCCTCTCTGAGAAGCTCAGGTGATCACAAGTCATTTATTTAACAGTTATTTATTTAGCATCAAATGAATGTAAAGCACGAGAAAGTGAAGTTTTAAATTTGTTCTGAAAGAGCTTATAATGAAGAAGGAAAATAAATACATTCCCACACACACTATATATATAACAAGCCAGCTATTAATTAAGCACACACTATTTCTTGAAATCTCCTAGGTACTCAAGTTAGATAATACATAAAAAAGATACTATCTGTCCCCAGGACACTTACACTCTAGGTAGGTAAGGAGGCACACAATAAGTATGAAACAAATTGTAAGCTATATAAAATAGGAGCAAGCATCTTAGTCCAGTAGAGCAGCAAATAAATGCCCTCTGAATTACTTACCTTCTAGCCTAAAATAACTGGAAAAGGGGGAGGAGTAGAGAAAGCTAAGAAATGGAGACAATTCTTGAAAGATGAGTAGGATCAGGATCTAGGGGAAAATACGGATTAGTTCAATGACAAAACGAAAACATGCAAAGAAGAGAAGTGATTGACTTGAAAGTGTACAATCTTCTCATGATTGAGTAGTTCAAAACAGGGGTGAGGAAAGCTTTTTAAGTATATTGAATCATACTCCAGAGCTGCGTGTTCTCAAATTTGTCAGGCACCTATTTGCATGTGACTTTATAGCAATGCATACAAAACCGACTTGATGCCCTTGGACCCTGAAGCTAGGTCCTGACGTGTCAGAAATGATACACACTAGCACGCATGCCAGCCCTTTCTCCCCTCTGTTAAGAATTTCAAAATCCCTTATCTAACTCCAGAAATCCTGGATTCCTAGGACACAATAATCAAGAACAGAGAAAAATGCAAAACATAAGCATGAGAAAGTTAGATGCTCAAATCATGAGCAGCCTCACCCACAGCATGCTTAGAAGTGGCTCAGTAAAGAATATTTTCCCCTCAGCTATTCTTAGTGATTCTATACAGCTTTGAAAATGAGGTCTTTCTGCCTTCTTTTTCACAATTTCATAATACAGAATAAAAAAACTTTCAACTCTCTTGCAAACTGAAAAAAAAAATGCTTACATTTCTTCCCATTCAACAATAACTCAGAGGCAGCTAATGAGATTTGCTTTCCTTCCCTGTACTCCCAGAAGCCATTCATTCTCCACCTGGCAGGGTCTAGCCATGAAAATTTTCACCATAGTTCTTCAGGCAACTAGGAGAGGGATGAAAATGGTTTAGTAATGGGAGTTGCCGTAAAGCTTATAATTACTGAATTCACTACAGTGACCATTATAATGAAGTGTTTGTTTAAATCAAATATCTGTTGACTCTGAAGATAAATGATGTACTCTATGCCCCATCTTCCCTGAATATACTAAGTGAGCTTTTTTGCACAACAGTGGTTCATCCATCTTTCTTTGGTTCACCAGCTTGCCTGACAGGAGCAAGTACCTTCACCTCACTCAGGAACCCACATGCAGACCCTGAGTACCCATCACCCAGTACGTGAACCCAGCACCAGCCAGTAACAGAACCTAATCCATTCTCATAAGGCCTTCAGGGAAAGCAGACATTCTTTTTAACAGGAGTAATACCAAGGGTGGGCCAACAAACAAACACCAATGTAGCTCTGTATGAACTTGAGACATGCCTACCTTTCTCTGCCTTCATTTTCACATCTTTGAAGTCAAGGGGTTGACTTTATCTGTAAAATCTGAGTCCTTGAACATTCTGTGATTCTAAATTGGAAAGAAAACTAGGGTTAGAATTAAGCTCATGCTCAAGTCCTCAGACTGAGGTGGCTCCACAGAGTTTATCCCCTAAGACCCTGCAACAAAGCCTTTGATGGAGGCCTTCATTAGAAGACAGGTGGATTTTTCTCTCAAAATCTCTCCACTCTCACCTCTTCTATTTTTTTTTTCAAACTCAGGACCTTCTGCCTGTGAGGCAGGTGGCAGAACCACAGAGCTAAATCCCCCAACCCTCCACTCTAATCTCTTTCCCTTGTTCGGCATTTTATCTGGTAGCAGGAAACGTTCTTTGAAGCCTGAAGACACTTATGAAAAGAGTAAGAATCATGTTCATTCTCCATCCTATTGTCAGCCAACTAGCAATTGTCAACACAGGACAAGAAATGTTGAGAGGATTAATTAGTTAATCTTCACGGAGGGCTTGAAGAGGAGGAATGCTCTCCATAGAGCTCAGGAGAATTAAGGCTGGACCAATTTTCACATCAAATAATAAAACCTTAGAAGAACACATTTCAAGATTTAAACTGCGAGCAGTAAACAAAAGTGCAGAAGGGAAGGGTAGAGCGAAGTGATTCTGTTTTGCTTCACTGGGGACACAGGGAAACCCAACCAAAAAAGATGGGACATTAATCAAAAGATCCACAACCAAGCACTAGAAAGCGTACATGCTTTGTTTTATTGTTTGTTCGTTGTTTTGATACAGAGTCTCGCTTTGTAGTTCAGGCTGGTTCTGAAATCACTATGGAACCCAAAATGGCCTCTAACTTGCAGAAATCTTCCTGCCTCAGCCTCCTGAGTGTTGGGATTACAGATGTGCTCCACCATACTCGGTATGTGCACATACTTTGAAAGAGGACATGAGAAAGGTAAAGAATAATACAGCCAAAGTCTACAGATGAAAACCCCCATCCTGTGAAGGAGAGGTAGCTCTTTCATGGCGGCCTTATAAAAGAACAGCTCTGGGTCTCATCCTTTCAAGCCTTCTTCATATATCTCCTTTAGAGAGCAATCTGCCCCCAGCTGCCCTGTAAACCTACTGCAAGAAAGGAGCTGTCCACAAAGGGTCATCACTCAGATCTCTGGAGGACCCCCACACCACTGGAAAAATCCAAGAACTATTAGAACCAAGAGTCCTAGGCTGTTCCCATCTCTCCTTAAAGGAAAATTCTTCTCCATAAAAAGACTTGAAGCTCAGACTAAGCAATCTAGAGAACTGAAGCATTTATCCTGCCAATCCAGACCAAGAGTGGTAAAATGCTGCTTTGTTCCAGAGCATTTGGGGAAAAACCCGAGGCTAGCACTGTTCCTTGATATGTATTGTTTTTGAATCTCAGAAGTTGTCAAATACCTCTGCCACCTGAGCTAAAATTCTAGCCAATGCTCTCCTTAAACCTGAGCAGGTATTGGTAGCACACTCGGGTCACCTTCAGAGCAGTCTCTTCTAGTCCAGACTTTTTGTTGTAGATCTCTGCTTCTTCAGTGCATTTCATTGACTATTGGTGGACATTACACAGATTCCTAAGTATTTAACACCCTGAGAATGGCTAATGTATGTCAATACACTAAAATTCTTTCATGGTTAGAAAAAAAAGTCTGCAAGCACAGCAGCAAGTAAAATGGATTGGACTATTTCATAATTTATGATCCCTTTTAAGGATACACATTAAAGAAGTGTTGACTTCTAGGCTAGAAAAAACAGAGCTTAAGCCCAAGACCTCCCTGACTGGACTTCTAGCTAGAGGAAAAATTTTTTTAGCCATCCTAAGCCATGAGGTTCTCCTCTGCAAAGTGACAATTATAATAACATCTGACTCAGGGCGGTGATCAAAAGAACACAGTACCTGTGCTCAGTAAATGTTCAGTGGTGCATTTGAGTCTTAAATTTTATTGTTAATTCTATCTGCTGTGGTTTGAATATGACCTGTCCCTTCTGAAACTTGTGTTGGAATTTAATCCCTCCACAAGATACTGAGAACTGAGACAATGTGTGGCCTTTGAGAGGTAATTAGGACTCTGCCTTCGTGAATGGATTAATCCACTCAGGCAATTAAAGAATTGCTACGTTAATGGGTTATCTCCAGTATGTATCTTCTATAAAATCCAGTTTGGCTGGGTCTCTCCCATGCTTTCCATCTCCCACCATGTGGTGCTCTGTACTGTCCTGGGACTCTGCCAGCAAGAAGGTCATCATCTGATGAGGCCCCTTGACCTTGTGTGAGAACAGTGAGGCAAATAAGCCCATCTTTTTTATCACTTACCAAATTTGTACTATTCAGTTATTAGCAACAAAAAACAGTAAGACAAAATTTCTATTGAGGAAATATGTGAAAATGTAGTTCTAATTTCATAACACAACAGTTTTTATTTTTCCATGTTCCTTTTTTATTTCTATCCTTACACACACACACACACACACACACACACACACATCTATTAACACACTATACATAAAGCTTTTTTCTTCTATATTGTGACTTAATTTCTGCCATGAATGCCTTTCCATCCTGTTTTCTGATCTCTACAATTATAATCTGCAAAGAGCCCGTGATGTTCCCCACATTGGCACACCACAGATGAATAAAAAGTACCTCCACTGGGAAATGATGATTGAGTAGTAAAACACACTGAACTTGGAGCCTGAAGACCTGGGTTTTTCATTTCCTCTATCAAAACACATATGCTTTCAGGTACTTCGTAGTGGATCTTTTGAATGTGTTTTCTGACTCTTGCTTGGGTTTTCCTGTTCTCACAACTAAACTAAACTTTCCAAAATCTGCCACTCACTTTAACCATGCAGCCTTAAAGAAAGCATATCACCTTTCACAAGCTGTTTCCTCATTTATAAAATGAGGAGGAAAAATAAAGCCACCTACTCTGGAGGATTGTTATGAAGATGAACTGAGATAATATGTATGAAAAGGCCTTGTAAACCATAAATGACTGCACCCCTGTATGGTAAAATTACACCGATGTATTTTATCACTTTTCTTTCTTTTAAAAGATTCCTTTAGTATAAATTCCTAAAGAGGAATTATTTTTCCAAGAGTATTTCTATATATATGGGCCATGATAGACACACCTAAAGTGCTTAAAGGAGGAGGGAGGCTTGGAAACAAATGGATAAAGGCAAGCTCAGTCCATTACTCTCCAGTGCTCTCAACAATCACAAAACCACATTACAAACACATACGTTCACTAAGGGTTTATTTTTAAGAGTGTCAAACCCAACACTGCAGAGTTGGAGATGAACACAAAAATGTAAATAAAACCTTTCTGCATACTTTGTGTTTTTACCAGTACTGTGTATGTCCATCCAAACTTACAGCTTTAAACAGAATGTGAAAGCCATCCTTTGTCATCCATAAAGAACGGCCTTTGAACGAAAAGTGAGTACTCACACATGTGATGTGCACTAGTTCATCTACCCCATCTGCTGTCCCTGAGCCCTGGAGGGTTAGGTGCCAGAGAAGGAAGAGAAAGGGGACACTTCCAAGGATAGGTATTGGAGCTGTGTCCCTTAGACAGAACGAGAATGAAGAAAAATGAGTTGTGACAGCCAAACTCATCTGTGGCCAGAAATACTTGTGCTCAATGCACCTCTCATTTATAACTTTTCATCTTTTGTAATAACCTCCATAATCAGAGCCCTTGTGAACATGTTCAGTTTCCTGTCAAGGGTTGGGAAGCTAAGGGGGGAATGGGGCTGTATCCACTCTGTGGGGTCAATGTATGAGTGACGGCTGGGAATGCAGTGGTGGCCGAAGTATATGGCTCAGCAAGTCCATAAGGGCACCCACCCAAGGACTAGTGGAGATGTGGGACAAATATCTGAAGCCAGTGTCAGCCTCTGAGCTGGGAAGCAGTAATAGACAGACAGTGCTCAGACTCACAAAGAAGACCCTCAGCTGCCATCCAGATGGATTTCATGGATTCCCATCTAAATGACTACATGACACACACAGGCTGAGTCACAAGGATAGGGCACCAACACTAAACCATGGTGAGCTCTAGTCCACAGAATGATCTTTCCAATCAGAACTTCATTTCTGTACCTACCTACACCTTATTTAACTTACTTTGTGGATCTTATCAGTCACTTATAGCACCCTCCTAAAAAGGAGGAGGCCCGCACATTCAAATCAGACAAGATACACTTCGAATCCCAGCTCTAACAGAGAAATTTCAGGCAGGAACCTTCACTCTCCTGTGCCTTAGTTTCCTCATTTATAAAAATGGGCAAATTCAAACCCCCTCCTTAAATAATCAGAGTTATACAACATATTTTCCTAAAACCAGCATCTGGGGCCTATGAATGTAATTCCTGTTTTTTATTACCATTTGAAAGATCTGCATGCTCATGTATATTGTCAATAGCATAATAACAAAATTTTGGATTCCATTGTTCCTTTCCATGAAATTTCTAATTTAATTTAGTAGCATTGTGGACACAGGAGTCAAGCTCTGGTCTCAATTACCGAAACACAACTTTCAAATATAGACCGAGAATCTTCTGAAACCCACTTTGACTTCAGAAAGCAGCAGCGCAGAACATGGCCTCACCATGTTTATGATGTTTTAAAAAGTGGAAGTGGGAAGGGTAGGGGAAAGGAAATAAGGGAAAAAAATATATGAGAAAATGAATAAATGCAAATAAAGTATTTGTAAATAGGGAAGGGGGGGTGAAGGGAGGGCAGGGGTAAGGGGAAGAAATGAGAACCAAGACCTGTCATGTAAAGGTACAAGATCCCAATGATGAATGTAACTGTACTGTATTCCTAAAATGGACCAATAAACACAATGAGA